TCTTAGTCCTATGCTAGTTAACATTTTTATCAATAATCTGGAAGAAAATATAAAGTCATTGCTGACAAAGTTTGCAGATAACACAAAAGTTGGGAGACTAGTAAATAATGAAGAGGAGGACAGGTCACTAATACAGAATGATCTAGATTTCTTGGTAAGCAGGGCTCAAGCAAAACAATATGTGTTTTAGTACAGCTAACTGTAAATGTATACATCTAGGAACAAAGAAAGTAGGTCATACTTACATGATGGGGGACTCTATCCTGGGAAGCAGTAACTCTGAAAAAGATTTAAGAATCATGGTGGATAATGAACTAAACATGAGCGCCCAGTGTGATGGTGTGGCCAAAAGGGCTAATTCAATCCTTGGATGCATAAACAGGAGAATCTCAAGTAGGAGAAGAGAGGTTATTTTACTTCTGTATTGGGAACTGGTGTGACTGCTGCTGGAGTGTCCAGTTCTAGTGTCCACAATTCAAGACAGATGTTGATAAATTGGAGAGGATTCAGAGGAAAGCCACGAGAATGAGTAAAGGATTAAAAAACTCGCCTTACAGTGATAGACTGAAAGAGCTCAATCTATTTAGCTTTACAAACAGAAAGATAAGGGGCAACTTGATTACAGTCTAGAAGTACCTACATGGAGAACAAATATTTAATAATTGGACTCTTCAATCTAGCACAGAAAAATGAATTTTTCAGATTATCAAGAGCTAATGGCTGGAAGTTGAAGCTAGACAAATTCAGACTGGAAATAAGGTGTACATTTTTAACAGTGAGAGTGATTAACCATTGGAACAATTAAGCAAGCATTGTGGTGAATTCTCCATTACTGACCTTTTTTTAAACTAAGATTGGATGTTTTGTATATGCTCCAGGAATGAATTTGGGAAAGGTCGACGGATTGTAGAGGAAGTCAGACTAGATGATCACAGTTGTCCCTTCTGGCTTTGGAATCTATAAATCTGTAAATTTCATCAGCTCCGGCACAAGCCTCCACCCATACTTTCTCCAGTATGATCAGGACTTTTCTCTGGCAAATCATAACAAGTTCATCAACCAAACAGTGTACCCTCCCTAGAGGAGTTACAAGCTCCATCTCCCAGGGAACATATTCTGCAATTTTCTCCGTTCCCAAGGGATCAGGGCTGCCTCCAGTAAATTCCAGATCTACATTCTAGGATTCCCCTACTCCCATGATATGGGCCTCCAGGCAACCGTGAGATGTTAACAAACCTTTGGTTAGTACTGACCTGGGCTGGATTTGATCTCACAATGGAGTCACTACCCTGAAATTAGATGCACACGGGGCTGACCATTGCAGTTATGTAGAGCCCCAGTGCCTTTATTCAGCGCTTTATACCCCATTACTAATCTTTGAAACCATCCAATCCCATGACTGATTTATTATTTGGAAAAAAAAAATCTTGCACTTTTCCTCTGCACATTGCTGGAAGTTTAAAATTTCATTAGCAATCAGATAATTATAAATTAATTTACTATATAGATATTCTAGAGTTATGCTCAGACTTTCCATTTGAAGACCCTGTTTTCAGTGACTTCTAACTTTGCCAACTGGGCTGAAGTTTACCAGGTTGGGAGTTTGCCTCAGACTTGGGAAGTTTCAATAAAAACAGTTCAGCAGTGCCTGAGTACGAGATAAGGGGGAAATGCCACATGTTGCCAATTTTGAAAATTTTTAACCATTTGTTGTGAAGCTTTAGCACCTCCATGCTTTGAAGCAGGGACATGAAATTTGGTAGGGGGGTCATGCTGGAGTCAAAGAGCTGTCTTTTGCTATCTCTCTGAAAATCCAATCAACTTTGTGCAAGTTATAAACCAGTGAAACTCTCTGCACTGAGTTTATTAGAGACCTCCAGCAAAATTCTCCAAACAATCTGTCTGTACTGAGTATATGCCACCTTTACTGAGCTCCATGCTAACTATACTGAGCATGCACCACCCCCACAGAGATTACTAAGCATGCTCCATTCTCTGGCTAAGGAGGTCTTTTCCTGCCATTGTTCCTTTTGTCTGGTGGGAGCTTCTGTTGTGTCAGGCAGCAGAACTGAGAGAAGAGAGACTCTCTCATAGAATCATAGAATATCAGGGTTGGAAGGGACCTCAGGAGGTCATCTAGTCCAACCCCCTGCTCAAAGCAGGACCAATCCCCAATCTCTCCTGTGCTCTCAATGGACCCCAGGCAGGAGGAAGTATGAGGGAAGCTAGGAGGAGGGCACAGAAAGACTATGAAGGGGATGGGGGCAGGGACAGAAGAGTGGAGGGGAATGGACTAGGCATTTTCCAAGGTTGAATGCTTGACTTTGAAACCTTAACATTCTTTTCACATCATTGTTTTAGGGGGTTTAAAGATTATTATTTTATGTAATAGATAAAGACTTCAATAAAATGACAGCTCTGTTTATGGGTTTGCTCAGAATTGCAGCGCCTTTAAAAAAGTGAATTCCTCCTCCAGAAGAACAAGGCACAGTGAGAGAATGATTAAAGAGTACAAAATAGGCCGTAAGAGTCTTCTAGTCACACAATCAATTTCTCAGTGGTGCCCATTAGACATAGGGAATCATGCATTTTGCTTACACAGCTGCCCTGAGAAAAGCAAGGAGCATATTGCTGACATCTCCTTTTGCAGAAGGTGGGCAATTATAGCAATCTTAAAGTGATAACACTCTTTCTTGGTGTCATTGAGTATCATTTAGGGTAGCATACAACCTACTTACCTACCTTTACAATATTTGTAATCACTTCAAGATTAAAGTAATGTATAATCCTGCTAATGTTTCCAATTACTGGGCTGAACACAGGGGTATCTGGGTAAAATGTTATGGCCTGTTTTATGTCGGGGGTCTGATTAGATGATCTGTTGGCCCTTTCTGGCCTTAAACTCTATGGATGAATATGAAAGTCTGCAACTGTCCGAAAAAAGTATATGCATGGATGTGATAGCTACACACTAGTTTCCAGGCTGAATCAGTCTAATGGTCCATCTAGTCCACAGTCCTGTTTCTGACAGTGATCCGCACCAAATGCTTCAGAGGAAGGTGGAAAAAGCCCAAGATAGGAAAATGATGAAATAACCTATTCATAAAGAAAGTTTCCTTCTAACGCTAGCCAGTAAGTGGTTTGCTTATTCCCTGAAGCATTAGGTTATCTCTCTAATAAATGTGACTGGAACACTGGCTCAATGTGGCTGGGCTGAAGAAAAAATGGCTTAGCCCTGAGGTACTCAAAGGAAATTGGTATTTCTCACAACCTAGGATTTAGTTGGATATTGATAGGGGTCTCACACAGCCCTCATCTTAGTATCATGGTTTTAAACTTATTTGAATAAATCCTTATATCTAAATACAAATAAATATAAAAATGGGGACTCCTGGCCTTGAATTTGAATTCAATTCTGAAGGTTTACCCTTCCAGCTTAGTACTCAACACAGGTTTGCATGCTGGTCTGGGGCTTAGGTCCACATCCCTGCCCTTCTGCAGTTTTCCTGGGTGATCTTGGGTACATTCTTTAATCTCTCTGTGCCTCCATTTCCCATGTGAAATGAGGATAAAAGTATTTCCCTGCCTTTCCGGGGTGTTGCAAGTTGCTTAGATACTGTGGTGATGGAGGCCAGAGACATATAGAATACTTATATTCAGACAGCTTGTGGACAGTCTCTGACGCATCTTAGTCTCTGTGGCACAAACTGTTAGTATGTTTGGCTATTAACCAAAAGATTGGTGATTTATATCCACCTCAGGGTGGAGCTCCTTGTGATGGGTTCCACCTGGAACTGGGGTACCACTGAGCCCTGTGACCCACCAGTCTGGGCTCCCTCTCACACTGTGCTGCTGTGACACGCTGCAAAGCCCTTCAAGCTTGCACATTCATCAGCATTTACACAGGTAGGGACACACTCAGCTGCAGTTACATGCAGGCTCTCTAACCAGCAGCCTCCCAGCCTAGGACCCCAGAGCAGTACTGTCCTGCCCTGGTTAATGCTGGCCAGTAGATGGGTTTAATACCCAGTCCACCTCTCCCTCAATGTAAAGAGGACCATGCACACTTGTGGTAACCAAACTGACACTTTTCCCAGAACCTTAGTCAAACACACACTGGTTTGGATTAAAACATAAAATAAAATTATTAATTACAAAAAATATATTTTAAATGATTATAAGTGATAGCAAACAGATCAAAGCAGATTACCTAGTAAATAAACAAAACCTCAAACTGAGATTAGCATATTAGGCTAGGATATGAATTAGCAAATTCTCACCCTGAGTGATAAACAGGCTGGCAGATTCTTAAGGCACAAGCTGCCTTTGCTTTGCAGCTTGGGTTTCCCAGGTTTTCATACAAAGGCTAGAAATCCCTTTAGCCTGGGACCATCACTTCACCCAGTTCAGTCTTTGTTCCTCAGGTGTTTTCAGGTGTGTTGTTGTAGGGAGAGTGAAGTACCATCATGATGTCATTTCCCCCTTTTATATCTTCTTCCCACTTGCTGGAAAGCTCTTTTGCTGTGACCTGGGTCAAACAGTCCTCATTGTGTAGTGCTCTCTCTGGGAGGTTTTATTGTACACAGTTCCTGGGGCAATTCTTGTGCTTGCATGCATTTCCTCAATAAGCGATTAACATTGTTTGGCCTTGTTACTGTTGTATCTGAAAGGCGGCTTTTGGGTGTTTTCAACCTCACAACCTAGCCAAACTTCAGTAACACATACCTAGCCAAACTTCATAAATTCACATACAACGATAACACATGCAATCCAACAAGATATTAATGTCTAGCAGATCAAGACTCTTAGAATGATACCTCACAAGGCATACTTTGCACAAAACACATCCTAATAATATGACAGTAGTGAATAAGGGGTGCCAGGGTGTCACACTCCTGTGATACACAGGTCAGACTAGATGATCTAAGGCTCCTTTCTGGCCTCAAACTTTATTAACCTGTTGTTGTCAATGGCCTTTTTTTTTTTTCTTTTTTCCGTAGGTCTCGACTGAAGAAGGCATGAGCTTGGCAAGAGAGTATTCGTGCTCCTTCTTTGAGACCTCAGCTGCCCTGCGCTTCTACATTGATGACGTCTTTCATGGACTGGTGCGGGAAATCCGCAGAAAAGAGTCCTCGCTGCCCCTGACAGAGAAGAAGATGAAGAGGAAGGACAGTCTGTGGCAGATGCTGAAAGGATCTTTGAAGAAGAAAAGGGAAAGCACAACTTGATGGCACTTTCCAGTGGGCCACCTTTAGGGAGCTGATCACAGTCATCTGTAGCAATTCCTAAGGCAGCATTTACACAGCATCTTCAGGGCCCAGTTCTGGAGTCCTTTCTCTGCTTTCATTCAGTCCTTATGCAGGAATAACTTCTATGAGGCCCAATCTGTGGTTGCCTGGTGGCCCCTTTATCCCAACATAGCCAATGCAGAAGGAGCCACATAGAAGTCAGTTACCCTTCCCCTCACTCTTGGCACAGTAGGCCCTCTTGTGTAAGGTACAGAGGCAGTGGAGTGAACAGTGTACCTTTCCCTGCATGATCCCCCAGCAAGGGGTATTCAAGGTCATCAAGGGTAGGAAAGAGTATTTTAGGTATGGAGCAATTCTCCAAAAAGGGCCATTAATGTACCCACTATACACACACCCAAATCATATATCATTTGAAAGCTTATTTTATGTATGTTTGGATGAATTATGATGTGGAGCTTTCACATGGTGCTGTAAGCTGGTAGGCGTGGTGAAATAATGGTACCCCAAATGAAAAAGTGTCATGTTGTGCATAGTTCCTGAAACATTGCAACCTGACTATAACTACGGTTTTTACTGTTTATGTTAATTTCAACACCTTAATGTGGGGTTCATTGCTCAAAGCTACCAAACAACAATCTATTAAAATGTTTTTATTGGTTTTCCATGGACCAGTATTTTTTTTTAGAATGATTAAATTGTTCAGCATGTGGCAAAAATGCCGAATATCAACATTTTGCAATAAACGAACATGAAATGTTTTCACATCACAGATTCTTAATTGTCAAAGTATCTCATAAGTGATTATAATAGTTGTCAATATTTTCAGTTGAAATTTGCGACCTGATCAATCTCCCACAGAAGGTTGTGCACCAGTAGCAGTAGATTGCATGCCCATAATTTGTCCCGCCTAGTGGGTAGATAGAAATGTATGTGAATTCTTAATATAATGCTTCTCCATTTGTAAGCTTTTATACATACCGAGTAGCATCTAGTCTGCCCGGTAGAAGGTTTTAATTTGTATTTGTCTATGTGTGCAGTACTAGTCTTTGAAATATTCTAGAAACTAGCTTTTTAATTCAATGACACTTATGCACAGGCTGGTATTAGTATTAGAGATGACAATACACTGCTTCATACTGGGTTTCAATCAAAGTTCTCAATCAGCAAAAATGGCAATTTTGATATTAATATATAGATCTAGTTTATATATAATGTAGCACAAATCTGTATATTTGTACAAAACGAAAAATTATGTTAGTGGAGGCGGTAATGCTAAGAATATACTTTGAGAATTTTACCTCTACAGGGAAGTTACAGTATGTGAAGACTTGGAGGATACAAGCCCCTTAAAAAAAAGACTCCAAAAACTTTTTCAAATGTGTTATTTGCCAAGAAAAATCAAAAGAATGCAAAACTGTCAAAAGCCACCAGTGCTGGACAGAATTCAGTGATGCTGGCAGCAGAAGGCAGGAGAGATGAATGGTATTGGCAGCTACTGGATTAATTCCTTATTTTAGATGATGTGCCACCAATACTCTATCACAGGGGTTGCTTTCAGAAATACACAAGCAAGTTAAATTTGGCACATGTCAGAGTTGTATTGAACCCAGGAAAGAAAACAGACTCTGACTCTGATCAGAGAGCATCATGTTCCCCTGCTTCCATAGCCACCAGAGCTAGTACAGCCGCCACTGCTTTGCCCAGTTGTGTTGTTTGCTTGAGAAAAACACACAAGAAAGATAAGAAACTTCATAAAATGGAAACGTTTGAGAGGGCAGCTAATCTAGCAAAGGCAGCACTTCAAAGAAGATGATGACACATTGTGCAGAATATCTGTGGAAGACTTGATTGCTATGAATGGAGTTTATCACTCAACATGCCAATCTTCCTACTTCAGTAAAACAAACCTTAAAGCAAAACCACCTAGTTACACTGCAATAATACACTCACCTTATGACATCACAGTGTATCAGCTGTTTGAAGCGAGACTAGAGATAATGATCTTATGTATAACAAGAAGGCTGTTCAAGCTGCTACAAAGTTATAAAGCCCTATTTCCCTCAGATGTACAAACTGCAAGCTACTCCAGAAGCAAATTACAGCCAAGATTAGAAAAACACCATGGTTCTGCAATTTCATTCCATGAACAGCATGGACTAGGCAAATCTACCATTGTTCTATGCAGCACAATAACATTAGCTGATGCTATCCAGGATGCTAGTAATCTGAAGCAGGAACTTAAGTCGTCCAAATGTCTTGTGGATGTTCTTCTGGCAAGTAACCCTGGTAAACAGCTTTCCAATGCACAGGTGGTTTTGTATAATGCCACTTCAATCCTTCTGTCTGAAATTAACTAAAATAAAACCTCTGAATATTATCCAAAACCAGGTGATTGCAGTTAACAGAGGTCTGCTTCTTTTGTGCCCCAGTTGGTGCAGGAATTTGTCCTTTGGTTAATAGATAAAGAGACAGCAATGAATATCATCCTCAGAAGACATCCAAAGAAGGTAACTGTCAATTTTGGAGAGCATAGTATGTAACAGTTCCAAAATTATCATACTTTTGCACATAAGCCTTGCTGCACAGTTACACCATGAGTTTGGATTTCACAATTTAAGTGACATACTACACCTTCATGGATTCTGCCTCAGTTATGTTGAGCTGTGGCAGTTCATCACTAGCACTGCAAAAACTGAAGTCGGAAGACTTCACGGAGGCATGTTCATTCCAATTGGAATTGTTCCATTTCATGCTGGTGGAAATCTCATCCATGAAGGAGAACATAATATATACATCAACACAGAGATCATTGATGGAAAGGCTAGAGTGGCTTTTCAAGAACAATCTGCAGATAGTCCAGGATCACAAGAAATATCACGGACGTTTGGGAAAGAAAAATCACTTACTTTCCCTGGGCAATCAGAGCATGCAGTGTGCAGCATTTGAAAAATTTAGAACTCGTCCAGAACTGACTCGCCATGAAAAAGTACTTGAGAAAATAAACTCTTGTCAACTACATATAAATGCTTTCCAAGATTTCTCCTGGTATCTTTCGAAACTATTAGCTTGTGATATCCTGCCAATAGGAAAGGACACTGATACTGTTCACACTCAGATGATTCCATTTTGGACTGGTTCCAACCACAGTCTTGCAACAAAGAAAACATACACAGCAGTTGCATATGCACCTATTGTGGATGCCAAACCAACTGACATGGCCAGTCTATCCTACAATGCTGAAACATAAGGAAATGTCGGGAGCTTTAGGATAGCAGCATGCTGTTCAGACCATGGATCAGCAGCTGTATGCGGTTGCTCACAAAATGTAATAGACTCTCACAAATGAATTTGGGACCAATGTAATTTGCCTGGGTGGTTTTCACACCCTGTTTTATTGCACGTATTGGGAAATTTTGTGGAGACACAGGATTGCTAGACCTCTTGTTGATTCTGATGTATATGCAACTTGTACTGCAGAGAAAATGCTTGCTGGTAAGCAATTGAGCCATGCTCTACATGTCTTGACTCTAGCATTTGAGGCCATGAGTGCTCTGAAACTTTATTCATTTGTTAAGCAGTGTCAGCAGGGAGCAGATACTCAAATAGTTCCAGCAATTGTCTGGCAAATGTTGACAGGCTCAAGAGGTGTTTGAGTCTGAAGACATTAAGTCCTTACAACAGGTTACACTGGTCTACAATTTTGGAGAAGTCGTCTGCTTCAGATGTTTCTAAGATATTTAAGTTTTTACATTTTATGTCTATGTATATTGTGTAGATAGTAGAGTTTTAATCATAAATTGTAAACCTAGGTCTTTTCATGTGTTTATGGTTGCTTTACATGATAATATTTCACCTGTCCTGTTTATGTGACACTTTAAAAATCAGCAAAAGGGTTATATAAATAAAATGTATTATGAAACAAAAGGCAAAAAACTATTTTGTACATAGTTTAGTCCTATTCAGTGTCTACTCGGTGCTTCTTGGCTTGTCTCTTGTATTCATTAAATAGAGCATCTCTTGTCACTGTCCAGCAATAGTCTGCAAGCATTGATGGGCTCCATTTGCCCTGATAGCGTTTCTCCATTGTTGCAATGTCCTGGTGAAATCACTCGCCGTGCTCGTCGCTCACTGCTCCGCAGTTCAGTGGAAAAAAATCTAGATGAGAGTGCAAAAAATGTATCTTTAGTGACATGTTGCAACCAAGGCTTTTGTATGCCTTGAGGAGGTTTTCCACCAACAACCTGTAGTTGTCTGCCTTGTTGTTTCCGAGAAAATTTATTGCCACTAACTGGAAGGCTTTCCATGCCGTCTTTTCCTTGCCACGCAGTTCATGGTCAAATGCATCATCTCGAAGAAGTTCACGAATTTGAGGACCAACAAAGACACCTTCCTTTATTTTAGCTTCACTTAACCTTGGAAATTTTCCACAGAGGTACTTGAAAGCTTCTTGTGTTTTGTCAATGGACTTGACAAAGTTCTTCATCAGACCCAGCTTGATGTGTAAGGGTGGTAACAAAATCTTCCTTGATTCAACAAGTGGTGGATGCTGAACACTTTTCCTCCCAGGCTCCAATGACTGTCGGAGTGGCCAATCTTTCTTGATGTAGTGGGAATCTCTTGCACGACTATCCCATTCGCAGAGAAAACAGCAGTACTTTGTGTATCCAGTCTGCAGACCAAGCAAGAGAGCAACAACCTTCAAATCGCCACAAAGCTGCCACTGATGTTGGTCATAGTTTATGCGCCTCAAAAGATGTTTCATGTTGTCATAAGTTTCCTTCATATGGACTGCATGACCAACTGGAATTGATGGCAAAACATTGCCATTATGCAGTAAAACAGCGTTAAGACTCGTCTTCGATGAATCAATGAACAATCTCCACTCATCTGGATCGTGAACGATGTTGAGGGCTGCCATCACACCATCGATGTTGTTGCAGGCTACAAGATCACCTTCCATGAAGAAGAATGGGACAAGA